CCGACCAATTTGCGAGAACACATCGCAACTGACACAAAAGACATTGTATTCAATCATGCTCGCAATCCCCCGGGTCCCCTCCGGTCAAGCGGGCTGGGCTTTGATCCTGATCGAGATTCTGCAGCCAGCTCTTCAAGTCCTTCCCCCGCTGTCATTGCGACCAAATACAGCATTGCTCTGTGTGTCTGCACTCGCATGCCGAGAGTGCTCCCAGTCCGATGCATAATCTTTTTCTTGAAGCGCCCTGTCGAATCGATTCTCGCGTTGTGAGTCGGGGCGGTCAGAAGTCACAGCGGGTCCAATAATTATTTGAAGGTCTCTTCGAAACCTGGCTGCCTGAAACACCCGCAACCGATAAACAATTCTCCAATGGACAGGGGGGTGGACTGAAGCGGGCTCTTCTGATCCGCACATGGGGGTGAAACTATACGGTGTCCGCGCGCGCAGAAAGAGGTCGTCTGTCCCATGGGAGTCGGAGCCCACACACGGGGCTTATACTTCAACTTCCTGGGACAGCGGTAACCTCCTGCCCAGAGTTTGTGAGAACGTCCGAATCGCCCCAGGAAGACCCCAATAAGCGACCATCCTCGGGCTCCCAACTAAGGCTCCAACGCCTCCCCAACGGCTCAACGGCAGCCACCAGGCGGCTCCAAGACGCCCCCAAGAGAACCCAGGTGGGTCGTTTCTGGGAGACTGCCTGGGCTCATCTTTCTTCGGTTGACTGGTGCTGCCCCCTCTTTGTTTCAATACTGTGGGGGAAACGTAAGACTTGGTTTCGGGGGACTCGGGTTGGTCTGACGCGGCCGTGAGGAAAATGACGAGACCCAGCCCAAAATTTGACGCGACCTCCCGCTGCAAACAGATGACGAACATGGACTGTCGAAACCCAGAACGGCCTCGTCACAAGGCGTCGGCAAGCCCGAGAGCCGGCGAACTCGACTCTTACGTTTCCCCTGGCCCACTGCTCGGGGCACGCCTCTCGGGGTCGGAGGGAAGGCTGGCAGCAAAATCCAACAGTGCGCGATCGAGGGACTGGTTGTACAGAAGGCGCACGTGATAAGATGTCTTGCTGTGAGAGGTGTAGAGGCCCGCCCTTCGTCGAAATCGGCCTTTGTATGGCGCCCCAGCGGTGTCTGGGCCTCCCTGGGGGAAATATCAGACTTCTCGTGGAGCACCCGCCGGCACGCCAATCTCTTACTTCGCGTGCCCACTGTACTGTGGAGAAGGTACGGTGGACGCGTGGCTTGCGGAATTGCCAAGCCGCTCTGGACACCTGACATGGGTAAGGGAGAAGTGTGTGCGATGCTCGACAGCGAATGCTGTCCCAAACAGACAGCGGCCACCTCGGGCAGGCGACTTCTGGCCTCAAGCGGCCAACGCCCGCGGCGACATCGCCAGCGAATCCTGCTCGGCATGGGCAGAGGCTGCTGGCGGTCCTCGCCACCGCTCTTTCCGCACCCGTCCCGACCGTGCCGGCCCGCGGGGGCGAGCGGTGGCCACGCCCGCCCCCCCTTGCCTGCCCAGGACGAGGCCGAGCCCATCCGCCGCACCCCTGCTGCAGGCGGCCCGGCTCCCGCCTCCCTCCGCCCGCGCCGCCGCAGTGCTGCGCTCCTGCCCCCCTGTGCCGGGCCTGGAGCGGGGGGCAAGGCGACGTCGCCAGGAGGCAGGCGGGTCCCGAAGAGCAGGGCCCTGGAAGTCTTCTGCCGGTGGCGAACTCTGGGTCCGTGTTATAATTAGGTGGTTTACCTCCTCCTCCTGGCGAACTCCTCCTCCTGGGTTTACGGCCGGCCGTTGCCGGGGCCGTTCACAAAGCTGCCCAGGGTGAATCGCTGCTCCTTGGGGAAAACCCTGGTGTCCAGGACCCGTTTCCCTCAGGACCCGTCGGGTAGGTAGGAGGGTTTGTAGGTAGGACACACACTCCAGAAACGCGTCCCTGGCCCGATCGTTGGAAGACCTGAGGCGACGCTGCTTGGAACAGCCAGGCAAGCGACTGGATGCATCGTGGGCGACGTGGTCAGCTCTGCGGCCCGCACAGCTTTTTTTGCCAAGCAGCTTGGCAAACGAAAGGCTCCGCATCTTCTAGGGGGCGACACGGACAGGGGTTCCGCCCCCAAGGCACGAATGCGAGGGAGGGAGAGATGGAGGGAGGAGGAGGAGGAGGACGAGGAGGAGGAGGAGGAGGAGAAGACAGAGGAGGAGACATAGGAGCATGGAGAAACCTGCTTCTGCTGGGGTCGGCGTCCGTCCCCTCCTGTTGGCAATAGCGCGCCGCACTTATCACCTGGCGGCCCCTGCCCGGGCAGCCCCGCAAACAGACTCAATAACCCCGTGGTCGAAAAAACACCTCTTCCTCCTCCTCCTCCTTTTCATCCTCCAACAACCCTCTTCCCCAACAGAGTTACGTAATTGGGTGTTCTGTCTCCCACCAAGAAGGCTTACGAAATCCTGCAGCCTATAAGGCGGGATCGGTTTCCAGGCCACAGCGGCCCAGCGCCTCCTGTTCTGGAAGCCGCCTCCAATCGCATGCGGCGAGACCGGGGTGGTCGGACGATCCCTGGAGCTCTCTGGGAGTGCTTGGAGCCACGTGGACTGTGGCACCCGGGACATTCCAAGACATCTCAGCCCCGCTTCCCCGGCAGAGCTATGCTCGGGACCATCCCTCTCTGAGGACTCCTCCCCGTCCAGCCAACAGTCGTGCCATCTTCGGGGAGTGCGGCTGGTCCACGCGGGAGTCCCCTCGAGTTTTTGGTTGCTGCTCAGGCTGTAACGAGAGTGAAGCATTTTCAAGCGCACATTTGGTGCTACAGTGCTCGCGGGAAACATCCAGGAACGCACCAAGCTCATCTGCATCAAGTGGCGACATCAGCGGGTTCATCGTAAAACGAATGAAGATGATCTGGCTGGGCACGCGATGCTCTTGTGAAAGCCATGAAGGCCTGGCCTGCGTGTTACACGCCCCGTGATACCGATATGCGGCAACGTCGAAGGATAGGAAGTGGATGGGGCCAGATCCTCAGTCCTCCGCTTTCCAAGTCGGAGCTGTACCCACTTCCCAGCGGTCGTCTGAGGCTCTCCAAGCTCGCCGACCCAAGGTGAATCGATCCATGCGAATCGAGTCCTAAATCAACCCCTTCCCTTTGACTCCTTCCGTACCAGGGGGGTTCACCCCTCGTACACCATCCCTGGGGTGACTCGAACTATCTTTGGGCCACCTAGGCCCGCAAGAGCCCTCTCAGAACCTACCTCGTCCAACTTCGGGAATCTCGCGGGCTGTCTTGGAGGCCCTGGGGGGTGGTCCAAGAGGCACAAGTCGGGTGAACCTATGAAGTTCTTGTGTTTGTTGCGTTGTCGCCGCGTCGGTCGCAAGCGCGTCTAAGGCGGCCCCAGAAGGCCCCAATGCAAGCCCAAACTAGTCAAAACAAAACCCCGAGAGGGGCCACAAAAACCCTCCTGTCCACGCCGTGCGGATACATCAACTTGCTAGGTCGTTGGTCTTCCCGCTCCAGACGGCCCTGGTACGGCCTCCAAGACGGCTAAGATGGTCTCCAGGACGGCTACGATGGCCCCAAAAGCACCCAAAATGGCCCCAACATGCCTCCAAGACGGACCGAGATGCCCCCAATATGGGCCAAGAACCCCAGTTCTCCGGGGGTTCTCCGGGTTCTCCGGGGGTTCTCTGGGGTTCTCCGGGGTTCTCCGGGCTCTCCTGGTTCTCCGGGGGTTCTCCGGGGATTCTCCGGGGATTCTCCGGGGATTCTCCGGGTTCTCCGGGCGTTCTCCAGGTTCTCTGGGTTCTCCGGGTTCTCCGGGTTCTCCGGGTTCTCCCGGGTTCTCCGCGGGGGTTCTCCGTGGGTTCTCCCGGGGTTCTCTGGGTTCTCCGGGAGGGTTCTCTGGAAAACCGGGCGCTATAGTGTCCATGAATGCCAAACCGCCCAAGAAGCCTTCAAGTCGGCCCAGAAAGTCCCGCGGAAATAGAATTTCCATTGTTTGTTCAACGGTTGTGGCGTTTGTTGATATTCGGCTTTCCTACTGCTCAAGACGGCCCCAGAAGCCACCAAGATGGTCCAAGAGCGCCCAGGAGGCATCCCAGAAGGCCCCCTCATGGCCCAAAGTGTTTCCAAGTCGGCCCAGAGAGGCCCCCAGGACGGTTTCCTAGGATATCAGACGGGCCAGGAACGCCCTCAGACTGCCAAAGAGCCTCCCAAGGAGCATCCAAAGGTCCGCAGAAGGACCAATGAAGAACTCACGAGGCCTCCAACCCGCTCCCAGGAAGCTCTCAAGAGACCCACAGTGTGCCCCAAGAGGCTCCCAAGATTTCTCCTCCTCCTCCTCCTCCTCCCATCATCATCATCATCATCATCATCATCATCATCATCAGCATCATCACCATCATCATGATCATCATCATCAGCATCATCATCAGTATCAGTATCAGCATCATCATCAGTATCATCATCATTACCACCGTCATCATCATCACCATCACCATCACCAACACCATCACCATCATCATCATCATCATCATCATCATAATCATCATAATCATCATCACCATCACCATCATCATCAACATCAGTCTAATCATCATCTTTATCATTCGCATCACCATCACCACCACCATCACCACCACCATCATCACCATCACCATCACCATCACCATCACCATCACCATCACCATCACCATCACCATCACCATCACCATCACCATCACCATCACCATCACCATCACCATCACCATCACCATCATCATCACATCATCATCATCATCATCAGCATCAGTATCATCATCATCATCATCATCATCATCATCATCATCATCATCATCATCATCATCATCATTATCATCACAATCATCACCATCACCACCACCACCACCATCATCATCATCATCATCATCATCATCATCATCATCATCATCATCATCATCATCATCATCATCACCATCACCATCACCATCACCATTACCATCATCATCATCATCATCACCCTTTTTGTTCCTCCCTCTCCTCCTCTTCTTCTTCCTCCCCCACGTGTTCCCCGACTGGTTTCCACAATGGCCGGGGGAACGCATGGTCCGTTCGCTTGGCCGAGCTCTGGCCGCAACCTTCGGCGACAGAGGCGTTTCCAAAAGGCAAAGGGTGGCGGTGATTCGCAGCAAGCGTCTTCGATCCGCCGCCCCCCTGTTGGCTTGCGACGGCGCCGTGCCGAACGGCGGAACGGTTTTGGTCACCAGGGGGGTCTCGGCGGATCGCGCCGGCCACCCGAGAACCCGCGTGCAAGAGGACGTCCCTCGTTGCCCAGATCGCCTCCGAGACGGCCAAGATTGCCCTCGATGGCTTCCAAGATGCCTCCGATACGGCCAAGATGGCCTCCAAGACTGTCCCAAGACGCATTCACGATGGGGCCAAGAGGGCCCCAAGACGGCCCAAGACGTCCTCCAGACGGCCCAGGAGGCCCCTAAGACGCCCCAGGAGGGCTCCAAGAGGACCTCCAGCAGGCCCAAATCATTGACTTTCCTTTACTGGTTGGCTGATTTTAGCGTCCTCGCCTTTTCGGGTTTCCATGCTCCAAGACGGCCCAAGAGGGCTCCAAGACGGCCCAGGAGGGCGCCAAGACGGCCGCTAGACGGCCCCAAGAGACCCCCCAAAAGCACGAAGAGGCCCCCAAGAGGCCCCTCAGAGGCCCCGAAGAATCTCCCGGGAATCCCCCAGGAGGCCTCCAAGACAGCTTCAATAAGCCTCTTCTTCTGCTTCTTCTTCCTTCTCCTCCTCCTCCTCCTCCTCGTCCTCCCTCTCATCCTCCTTTCTCTTGCTCTCCCCAGTGTTCCCTCAAGGGGTTCAACAACGGCGGGAGAACACATAGTTCAATAGCTCGGCCAGACTTCGGCCCAACGTTTAGCCGCTTGGGCGTTTCCAAAAGGCATGGGGGGTCGGTGACTCGCCGTAGGCGTCCTCGACTGTGATCTGTATGTGCATATATGTATACACATATATATATATATGTATATGTATACACATCTAGATCTGTACTTGCCACTCCTGTTTTCTATCTCTCGTTCCCTCTGTCATCGCTTTTCTCTCTCTCTCTCTCGCTCTTTTTGTTCTCTATCTCTCTCTCTCCCCCTTTTATTATTCCCCCCCGATCTTTCTCTTCTCGCTCCCTCTCCATGTACTGCCTGCCGCCCCTGATTTCCGTCTATCATCCTCTATTTCTTCGGCCTCCTTCTTCTGCTGCGCTGTCCCACAACCCGTCACAGAAACGTGCGCCAAGCGCGAAAGACGTGTTTCCGCAAGAACACGGCTGTCTCTCCTGCGAGTTGGCGAGTGGACGAATGAAGGAAGAGAAAGAGAAAGAGAGAGAGAGAGAGAGAAAAAAAGAGAGAGAGAGAGAGGTACACGCATATGCACACATGTCATGGATTATGACTGTTCGTCCCATTCCCCATCTCAAAGAACAACTCTTGTGTCTGCTCGTGTCTACATCGCTACTCTTCACATCCGCATGGAACTCGGCGCCGCGAACGGCATTGCGGTATAAAGATCTGGTTGACCTTTTCTGACTGCTTTGACTTGCCGCTTAGCTCTGGCTGCCGTGCTATGTGTATGGTGGGTGGGCGGAATACTAAGCGCACATGCCGTGCAACTGTTTTTTTGGGCGACGCTGCGCGGACGCCTTCGAATATGCGCGCGCCTTCGCGCGCACATGCGGTTACGCGCCCGCCCGCGTGCACTCCACCGTGCCCGCGTGCGAGCGCGCGCCTGTGCCTGCTTGTACCCGCACGTGTCTCCAGAGGTCCCTGGAGGGCTCTGGAGGCCTTCAGAGGGCCGAACAAGGCAGGAGCCGTTCAGAAGCCTCGGTCTCCCCTCCTCGGCTCTTGAGGAGGGAGGACCGAGGACGTCATGGAGAACCCTTTTGCTCCCTGCTCGTCGCCAGGCCGTCGCTGCGCCCCGCTGTTCCCAGAAAAGGCGGAGAAAACGGCATAGGCACAAACCGACAGTCTCTCCCGCGCTTGTCGCAGTCCTTGGGTTTCGGCCCTGCTGCGCAGGTACCTCTCTTGAGGGCGAAAAGACGTGGAAACAAATCAGGAGTCAGCGGAATTCATGCTAACACCCGATGGCACGCTGCACATTCTATGATTTTAGGCGCGGCGGGAAAACATGCGACCGACCCCACCTCCCTGGAAGCCGATCTCTCCTCGTGCTGTCCTTCCTGTGTGAGCTGCCTGCCAAGCCTGCAACAACAATAGACAACCCTTTCTCGTGCTCACTTCCGTCTCGGGCTGCCCACCACCCACTGTCTGGCAATGAAAAGAAAATCCGATGAGAAGCTGCCCTCCATGTCTGGAATCTTCCCCTGTGGAGCTGTCCTGTCTGTCCGAGCAGGGCCATCGAAAGTCGTTCCAGATGGAGACGCCTCCCCTCGGCCTGTTCCATCCCTCCCCTCTTCTTCTGAACCCTCTCCTTGTGGTGATCGTCCTCTTCTGATGGTTCTTCTCCCTCATCATGCCAACGCAATGTGCTGTGATGCTACTTCCGCCGCTTCGCACTACCATCGCCGTCATTGAAGACTTCTTTACCGTTGTCCTCTCACTCACTGCCGACGGGCTGACAAACTTCACAATCTATTTGCACTGTGCCCTGGTATAACTGAAGAAGCAATACCTGATGTGAACGTTCGCCCGGATCAGTGGATCCGCCCAGCATACGCGAGCAAACACGTCGGTCACCGACCATTTTGATGGGCCAGCCCGCTCTCCGCACGGCTGGGGCCCGAGCCCAAATTACGTACTCGTTCTTCTCTCAGACGCTCCCTCCTCTTTTACCTCTCCCCTCCTCCTCCTCCTCCTCCTCCTCTTCCTCCTCCTCCTCCTCCTCCTCCTCCTCCTCCTTCTCTTCCATAGCCTGTGGAAGTCTCCAGAGGTCCCTGGAGGTCCCGGGGGGCCCGAAACATGGCCCAAAGCGTCCAGAAGCCCAGGTCCTCGAACCTCGATCCTCGTCGTCGTCGTCGTCTTCCTTCTCCTCCTCTGACCTTCGCTCCTCTTCCTGCCCCCTTTGATCTCCGGCGGCGGGCCCCCATGTGCCTCTTCGGCCGCAGCTGGGGCTTCGTGCCGTTCGGGGGTAAATTCGGTCGGAAGAGCACTTTGGGCGGGGCTGTATCGCTCTGGCCCCCAGGGGTTCGCCAACGAGCCCTCGAAGGAGCCAAGAGGCCTCCCAGCGGAAGGATCGGAGAGGTCGGAGGTTGCCAGAGGTGATCCTGGTCCAGGGTGCCCACCATTCTCGCGCCATTTTAGACCTCCCTAGGGCTCTCTGGGCCTCGTGAGGGGTGCTCTGACGGCCATCTGGGCCACCCCAGAAAAGCTGGGGCCACATCTGGTCAGGGAAAGGAAGGATGACGTAGCCAGATCTGTCTCCTGGGCTCCCAAGGTTCGAGACAGCTCTCCGAAAGACGCAAGCCCATTCTGATCACACTCGAATGATGCCCGGAATGGCGCTTTCGAAGGCCAGCGCGAGCTGTCCGTAGGGGATCAGGGCTGGGATGGCCCAGCGGAGCGGTCCGAGGAGCCAGAACTTTCAGCGCGACAGCCCCATCCCGGGGGTGCGCTGAGGGGTGCGCTGACCCAGGTCAGCGCCAACAGGGCTATGTCCCGAACGCGGCAGGCCACGAAGCAGCTCCCGTACCCAGGTCAGCGGAGGGCGGAGGCCTCCCGAGGGCTCCAGAAGCTGAACAAAAGGCGAACTGTGCTCGAAAACCTCTGTCCTCGATCCTCGGCCTGGCATGGGGGAGAAAAGAGTCCTGGTCCTGGTGACGCGCGCCCCTGCCTACTCCCGCCAACGCCGGCGCTTGAGCAGCCCGCCATGCCCGTCGGCGCTGACATGCGCATCTGGATGTTTTTCAATACGCGGCCCCCAGAAGTTGTGACCCCTTTCCCAAAGCCAACTTCTCATCCCGAGTGGTTTTTCGACGGTCCCGGGGCCCGTCGAGGGCTGGATTTCCAATACGCTGGATTTCTGGGTTGGCGCTGCCTTCAGGTGGCCGTGCGCCCCGACGCGCTCCCGCCAACGCCAGCGCCTGGGCCGCCGCCATGCTCGTTGGCGCTGACCCCTGGTGACCTCTGAGAGCCGCCTGCTAACAAAAAAGTGCAACGCTGTGAAAAATCGCGGCCGGAGCCCCCAGCCCTCCTCTTTCTGCAGCGTTTCTCGAGCTGGATCGATCTGTGAGGGCCCCGGCGTTCAAACATTGCAACGCTCAAGTGACCCCAAACGTGCGACGGTCCCCGGAAGTCCCGACCCCTTCTCCAGGGCTGGTTTTTCATCTCTGAGTCGTTTATCTAAAGGGGCCCCAGGACACACAAATAAATGCACACAAATAAAAAGATTCCCCACATTTCCTACATTTTTTGGGTTTCTTGTCTTCCCCCCCACTTCCCATATTTTCTCACATTTTCTGGGGAATCGACGATTCATTGTGTCTGTGTGTTTCTTTTCCTCCTGATTATCGACGGTCGCGGGGCGGGGCGAGGGCCCCCAGGGGCCGAGCACGAGGAGACGCCGCGGACCTGAGCTCCCCACTGCACCGGACGCCCGGGGGGGACGAGCGCCCCGACCCGCGCCCGCCAACGTCGGCGCCAGGGCCGCCGCCGTGCCCGCGGCGAAGGTCGGCACCGCGGGATCTCGGCTTCTCGGCGCCGGGCCCCGCGTCGTCCACGGCCACGTCGCCTCTGCGGCACGCGTGGAGCCAACGCGCGTGCCACGAGGAGCCCCAGGGGGAAGCCCGCCTCCGCAGGCTGTGGAGGCCCCCGCGGCTTCCCAGACGTGCTCGCGTCGTGAAGAAATCGCGACTGGAGATTTTCGTCGGTCTCGGCCTCTGGGGGGGGTCTCGCCCGGCCGCGGGACCGTCAACAAAAACGACTCGGGACGAAAAGCGGGCCATGGGGATCGGGTGGGACTTCTGGGGACCCCGTAGTGAAAAATTAAGGCATCGGGTGTCTGGGAAACTGGCCTTCGCAAACTGCGGAGGCCCCGTCGGCTTCGGGTCCTCCCCAGAATTTGGGCGAATCTCCGCGAAGAGTGCTGCTTGCACTGAGGGGTTCTTGGTGGTGAGCTGTCTTTTGTTAGGTGTTCTGGGTTGTCTGCCTGGTCATGGCTTCCGAGGTGGAAGCCGAAGAAAACGCAGGCTGCACGGAGATGGCTGCGATCGGAACGTGCCTACTTGTCGTGATCTTTATGTGCATGCGATGTGGACACACACACACAGCGCGTGCAGCCAAGCACTCCTGATCCATTCAGCTCACTGCCTCAGGACGCATCCTGTGAATGCAAGCGCCTGAAAGGACGCCATCGCAATGCTGAACGATGCAGGGCCCCCCCCAGCTCGGGCGTCGAGCGCCGATGACGGGTCTCGCCGCACTCCACTCCGAGGCAATCACTCATGGCGGGCACCCTGCCCACAAGAAGCCCGTGGTGCCGCAGGTCCGCCTCTGCCCTCTTCCGCCTCCTCGCCCCGGTGAGCCTCCTCCCGGGCACGTGCGCGCGGGCAGACGGATCTCGGCGCCGGCGCCGCTCGCGGGGGCGAGAGCGGGGAGCACGAGGGGCGGGGGCCCTGCTGGGGCCACGCGTCGGGCCGAAATCGGCACGCTCCCACCGCAGCGCGGACCGCCGCGTGTCGATTCGACCCGAATCGGCCGAACCTTCGGCCCGCTTCCCGGGAAGGACCTTCGGAGGCGGCTGCGGTCTGCCAGCATCAACGTCCGGCGCTCTGTGCGGTGCGGAGCCCCGGATGACGCCAAGCAGTGTGCGAACGAGCGGTGCTGGAGCTCTGAGCCGGATGTGATGCCCCTGCTCGTGGGGTGTTCCTGAAAGTAGCTACCATCGTTCGTGCCCCGCGGCGCTCAGCACACTAATTGCGGATCTTCGGGCCCTCCCACGAGCACAATCCCACCAGCCCTATAGGGCGTGAGTGGTTTAGTGCAGATCCTCTTCCAACCCCCGTCTTCCTCCTCGGGGAGGGTCTTACCACTGTCCCTTGTTTGCAAACACCCCCTCCCCCACTGGACCAGCGACCAACCAGGACCCAGGCCCCCCCATCATCCCTGTCAGCAAACAATGTAGAATGCACTCGCGGCGTTATCTTGGGTGATGATCAGGGCCCCGCGAGAATTTTGTTTTTTGCAAGGGACGCCAGGTGGGCCAGCCTATTGCCTGCTGTGTGCAGGGCCACGCTCCCTGTCAACAATCTGCACTTCGCGGCTGCATCTGGATCATGCGCGGGCAGCCCGCGGTCACATTGCACGTGTTTTTGACAAGGACGGCGGAGTACTGGCGTATTGCCTGTTGAGCGCAGGCCCACCAAAACATCATGATGGCCACTCCGCCGCGACTGTGCATGGTTTTCGACAAGGATTGTATGGCCGACGTGCTTCCTGGTCTTCGCGGGCGCACCTGACACACTCTGCGCGTGCCCCGAACGTGGCGCACTTGGCGCGGCTGGAGCATGCGGCATTCTTGGCGCATGTGGAGCACGTGGCGCATCCGGCGCACCAGGCACGCGTGGCGCACCTCGCCCCAACGTCGCGCACCTAGGATCTGTATTGGGTCCCAGTAGCTGTCCATCCAAAGACGATCGCTGAATATGCTCAGACTCGTGTGCTACTTCTGTGTTGGGAAAGCGGGTGGGAGTGTTTGCCGCTAGGAGAAATGTCCGGATCACTGTTTCTTATTGATATACACCCCCTCCTCCACCCAACCGGCGACAAACCTGGGACCCCCCCCCCACCATCCTTGGCAACTACAAATGCAAACTGCACTTTGCACCAACATCTGGATCATGCGCGGACGCCCCGCGATCACTTTGCATGACTTGACAAGGACGACCGGGGGGCTGGCATATTACCTGCTGTGTGCAATGCCCCCCCTCGCGCTATTCCTTGAAACATGCTATACGAAAGGCACTTTGCACCAAGCTCTTGGTCATGCGCGGACGCCCCGTGATCACTTTGCATGGTTCTTGGCAGGGACTGTGGAGGGGGCCGGCATATTGCCTGCTGTGTGCAATGCCAGCGCCCCCCGACCATCCATTGCAACAAAACAAAACTATTGAACATACACTTTGCATCAACGCGTGGATCATGCGCGGCGATGCGAATCGGTTTTTGATAAGGACGGCAGGGGGCCAGCATGTTGCCTGCTGTGTGCACGCCCGCCATCAGCTTCAACCCAAAATGCAAAGTTCACTTTGCCAGGGCCGGTAGGGGGGTGGCATACTGCCTGCTTCGTGCAGGCCTAAAACCCCGGTCGAAAGCACATGCAACGTGATTGCGGGTGCACGCCCACACGCAACACACAATGCTCGCAAACCCGACGTCAGTTTGCATTGGTTTTTGACAGCGGTGGTGGGGCGGTCGACCTGCTGCCCCATGTGGCGCACCTGGCACGTGCGGTGCCTTTCGCGGGCATCGCGCACCTGTCTTGCGTCTGTGTCGGTTCCCGATGGTTGTCGATGGCGGCCCTTGCCTGTTCTGAGACTCGGATGCTGTTGTGGGAGGTCGGGTGTGAGTGAGCGACACGGCTTGAGGCTTGGGGTATCCTGATCCCTCCTCGTACCCCCTCCCCCTTGCTCAGCACGGGGGGTCGGGGAAACGTTGGAGCGTCCAGGATGGCCCCAAATGGCCTCAGAGAGCCCAACATTATTTCTAATATTGCTCAGTATTCATCAAGATGGATTCCAATACGCTCCAAGAGGTTTCAATCAAGACCGCTCCAAAACGTGTCCAAGTGGCCTTGGAGCCTCCAGAGGAGGCCCCCCGAGAGGCAATTCCCAAAGTAATAGGAAATCAATGACATTGGCCTTGCCAGTTTTTCGCTTCCGATGGGCGTCCGAAGCCTCAAGGTGGCTCCAAGATGACCCGAGAGGGTCCCACGAAAGGCCCAAGAGGGCTCCAGGACGGCCCAATGAGCGCCGCAAAAGCGCTCCAAGAGGGCCCCGAGAGGCGATTCGGCGATTTTTGCGGCTCTAGAAAGGATCGCTGATCCCCCCCCTTTCATTGACCGACATCCTCCAAGGTGGCCCCAAGAGGGCGCCCAAGGCTCCCGAGGGGACCCAGATAAACCACAAGAGGGTTCCAAGAGTGCCCAGTGTCCTCCAATATGGCCCTAAGAGGGCCTCGCCAGGGCACCGAATGCATCCCAAACATTGCCCCAACGGGCCCCCACGACGGCCCAAACAAGCTGTTAACACGCTCCCATTTCGAAAGGTCCGCGGCGCGAGGGCACTGACGGTTGACTCCTGGGCCTGCTCAGGCTGATCCCGATGTTTGGTTTAACCGCTGCCCCCCCTCTTTGTTCCACTGCGTGCTCCCACGCTTCCCTGATCATCAACGCAACTCACCTAAGCTTCGTTGGTAGATGCGTTGGCGTTTTTGGTTGTTTTTTTTGGGGGGGTGCGCGGGCGCGCGAAGCGGGTCGAACGCTGGGCAAGGGGGGGCAGGCTGTGCTGGCGGGGATACTTTTGTGTTCGCAATCGTAACCGAACTGCCGAACGCCGTCAGAAAGTCGTAACACTCTAGCTACGGCCTAAATTGCGCAAGAGGGGGAGAGAAAGAAAGAGAGAGAGAGAGAGAGAGAGAGAGAGAGAGAGAGAGAGAGAGAAAAAGAGAGAGAGAAAGAGAGAGACAACTGGTGGGATATTTTCTGATCGCGACCGCGGCGAGAAGGTCGGGCGGCGTCAAGGTACGAAGCGCAGATGCATCGGCCTAAGTTAGCGCCAGGAAAAGAGAGGCGAACAAGGAAGAGAAAGAACGCGGCAGAGAGAAGACCAAGCGGGGGGGCAAACAAGAGGCGAGCCTCGCTGCCGCTCACAAGACGGCGCACACCTGGAAGAACTTCCGGGCGAAGTGCAGCACCCGAATGGTGCAATTCGAGGGCAGCCCCGCGACCGCGTAGAAGACCTCCAGCGAGACGAGCAGCGAGTCCACGACGAGCCGTCGGACCGTGGAACGTAAGACAGCGAGGTCGCCACTGCGAGGGAGATCCCCAGCATGCAAACGCATCACACCAGAACCGAAACGCCAACACCGAGAAGGTGCCGTGGGTGCCATCAGGCGGGGACCGGCAGCCCGCGCCGCCAAGGTGGCGAGAAAGGCCAGAGGAGCAGCAGATGGTAGGGATACTTTTTTGTTCGGCGGCCCGCAAGGAAGAGTCCAGAGGGCGTGTCAAAAGGCAATGGGGCGCAATGCCAGATAACTAGTGAAGGCCAGGCCACGACTGGAGGAAGCCGCCAAGAGGGCGCCAACCCACGCACGTGCAACATGCAGAACAGGGCAGCAAGCCAGAGTGACCAAGTGGTAGGGATACGCGAAGCGTCAAGAATTTCACAAGCAACCGATGGAAGAACACAGTATTTTTTCGGTCGGGTGCGCTACAGAGAAACCTCCCAATAACACAGGTCGATTTCCTTCTGGCCCACGCCGAGGAGGCAGACGATTTATTCTGACGTGAAGACACAGCAAAAACCAATACGGCCACCAGGAAATGCCTGTGTACGGTGGGGGGCTGGAGAGTGATACGAACTGTCCGTTCTCCTTTTCTGCCTCCTGCTGAACCGCCTCCAGTGGGCGTCTCGATGGGCGATGGGGGGAGCTATTTCTTCGCATCGGTCCTGTCTCATTGGGTTCTGCTGGTATGCTGGTCCTTTAGTATCCTGCGACCGGGGATCAAGGAGGGGGCCAAGTGACCGGAGGGTGGTCGTAGTCCATATTGCTTCTGGACGTCCGCCGAGTCCACAGCGACAGGGCAAGCTCCGACAGACGGGCACTCATACTACAGGAGCTGCCGGCACACCGCAACCCCAGGCACCGAAAAGCACGCCTGCATCCACGATCTCTGGTGTGCATCGCGATCTGGTGATTCAGCCAATCACCGCTCAGGGCTCACAGAGGGAGGGAGGAGGGCAGCGAGCGAGGGAGGGGGGGAAGTCGGGGAGCCCAGGCACCTGGCGGCTCGACAACCTTGGAGGCGCGGGCCGCCAGACCTCTTGACCACCACTTCTTCCCTGGGGCCAATCTCGTATCTCGAGCCGTTTCCTGGCGGCCCTGGGGCCCAGACCTGGCCTCTGAAGGCCCAGAATCTGGTGAAATCCTGAGGTCCGACGGCGCAAGCGCAAACTGCAATATCGTGAACAATCACGACCGGAGCCCTAGACCCCGCCTTTCTGCGGCCCTTTTCTGAGCTTGATCGATTGGTGCTGGCCCCAGGGCCCGAAACCAGGCGAGAACGGCCAGTGTCGAAAACATGCAACACCCAAAACCCCAGACTCCCGGGGCCGTGTTTTTTTCGTACCGCCGACCCCCAGAGGTCTTGATCCCTGGACTGGCTTTTCATCCTGGATCGTTCATGACGGCCCCAGGGCCCGGCGAGGGCGAGGCCTAACATAGCGACACACCGCCCGTGATGCTTTTCTCATGACCCGAGGGGTCTGGGACTCAGGGAGAGACGGCCGCCTCAATTTTTTCGAGCCGCCGGATGTCCGAGGAGCAGGTCGGGCTTCTACTGGCCCAGGTCAGTGCAAGCCCGGGCCAGTCAGGATGTCTCAGGGTCCTGCGAGGTCCTGCAGGATCCTGCGCGCTGGCCCGGGTCCGTGCGCCCCTGGCCCTGCAGGATCCTGCCAGATCTGGCGCTCTGGCCGACCCCCTGGCCTCCAGGCCCCCGAGGAGGGGTCCGGCCCTCGGGGCCGGCGCCGCCTGGGAGCTCCCGCGGCGCTGCCCCGCCTCGGTGCCCACGGCGTGCTCGCGGCTTCTCGCCGCCCCCCTCCCCGGCTACGGTCAAAGTGTCCACGTGTGAGGCTGCATGTCTGGGGTGCAGGACCCTTGGAAGTCCCATTCGCCATTGAGAGCTCCTGGGACGCCAGCATTGGCTCAGGATGGGCTGAGGAAGCAGGGAGGCAAGGGTAGCCTCGATGAAGCAGCGCGTCCTCACTGTGGCTTTTGACTCTACGTGCCAGAGCGCCCCTCATCGTGCTACCGGAAGGGACGCGGACTCAGGAACGAAGGGGCTTCTCTGCCGACGCCGAGCCTGGGCTACGAGTACGCTCCCCGAGCTCGATCTCAGGAGCGACCCGAAAAAACCAGAGCCCCTCCCGTGAACCCACAGGGGGTCCTTCTTTCGGCGCCTTCACTGTAACCAGACACCTGGCGGCTTGAGAAAGTGATTCGGGGCAACGACTTTTTTTTCTTTTTTTTCTCACTTTTCGACCTCTCTCTGGAGGCTGGCTCCGGGCCCCGCGACCGTCAACCAACGATGCGGGGGATGAGACGCCAGCCCTGGGGAAGTGGTCGAGAGGTCTTCTGGGGGCCCATACCCCAAATAGGAAAACGGAGAAGGGAAAAAAGGAGAAGGAGATGGGGGGGGGTATGCCCAAGCGGGCAGACGGGTACTACTGTCGTCGCACTCGGCGATCGGGAGACTCCCCAGGTGGGCCCGCACCAGATCCAAACATCCCATGTCTCGATTTTTTGTTGCGCATGCCCCGAAATCTCTCAACCATCCCAAGGATTTTTTCAATCCTACATCCCGAGGATTTTTTGATGCGCATGCCCCCTGGGACTGGTCTTGCATCCCGAGGATTTTGTTTCAGTCCTGGGGCCCAGAACCGGCCTCCAAAAGCCATGAATAAATGAAAACCCGCCGCCTCGATTTTTTCGAGCCGGCAGACGGATCACGCTCGGCGATCGGGGAATCCCCAGGTGGGCCCGCACCACGAGGCCAATCGGGCGAAGGGCCACTCTGGCGTGCAGCGCGGCTTCCCGGAGTCCTGGTCCCGGGCCAACGGCGCGCTGTGGGGCGGGCGAGTGAGCCGCCCCCAGCCGCAGGGGGTTACGCGCGCGCTTTTCTGAGCCCTCCTCCTAAGGGGCAACGATGGGGGGGGACCAGCTCTCGGCCAGGGTCGATGTATAGTTGGCGCTCCCCGAAGGGGGGGCGAACGGGGGAGGAGCTAGGACCGAACATTTTTTGTCGGTCCCAGCTTCTCCCGTGTCCGGCACCAGCTCCTCGAAGTGGAGCGGCGCAGTCCGGCAGTAAGTACCTTCCTTTCCCCTCCCTTCCTTGCTCCTGCGCGCGCGCTGGCAGGAGAGAAGGCCGTAGCGACTACAACTCGGGCCAGTCTGAAGAGGCAGCGTGGTCGCCGAAAGCTCACCCAGAGCGCCTGAGGAAACGGGCTGTTCCAATCACAGGCTTGAAATCGTCATTTGTTGTACTGTGGGGGGACTCCCCCTCCGCGATCCGCAGAAGCTATCTGTGCACCAGCACCATGCTTGGCCAGGGCCACCCTGGGCCCCACATGCCAGGGCCCAGGATGGCCCAGGCTAGGTATTCTTTGCTTCGGAGGAGAAGTGAGCCGAGAAGGCCAAACCCGCTCACGCGACAAACGTCCCGCCCGTCATCGTGAGAAGCGATAGAATTAGGATCTGCGCCATGCTCGCTCCACAAGCTCACGCCATTGCGCGTGCATCACTCTCGCCGCGCAAAGCCTCCCTCGTTGGGCAAAATGCCGTTCTGTGGGGACTGGGTGCCACCGGAACAAACAAAAAACACAAACTAAGCCGACGAGAAAAAGATGCTCTAGGGTTAGCATGGTGGTTTGCACATGCCTCCTTTCGGACAACAAACCACCGGGGCCCTCCGACCCCCCGGCGTCTCCAGCCACCCTCGCCGGGAGGGTGCCCCAGCCAGGAGGCAGAGGCCTCCAAGATGGGCTTGGAGCAGGTGGAGGCGGAGGAAATCGCCGCATCGCTGATGCTTCGACGATGCGCGGGTGGCGCTCCAACCGCATCGGCCCCCGTCAACGAAAGATCCGCGATGCATCCTCGATGCATCGTGAATGCACGTCGGTCGGCGCATCGAGACAATGATCCGCAAATCGACCCTTGATTCCGCGGGGCAACATGAGTTCGCGGTTCGAGACATGAATCCGCAGCTGGGAACATGAATCCGCGGATCGAAAGATGAATCCGCGGATTGCGGACTCAAACATGAATACGCGGATCGAGAGATGACAGCGCGTATTGAAGGCATATCGTGGGTTTCAATGGAACCATGACCCGCGGATCGAACAATGAATCCGCAGATCGAACAATAATTCCGCGGATCGAAAACTCAATTCCCGGATCGAAACCGCTGTCCTCGGATCTGGAACGGGATCCTTGGATCCATTCAAATATCCCCTCCACCCTGGGAAGGGGAGACCCGAGCGTCTTTCGCGCATGGCCTCCATGCGTATGGCGCGTCTACCATGCATCGGTGATACATTGCTGATGCGTCGTCCATGAGCCTCAATGCGCTCAGCGCGTTGCCGACGCCTCGACGATGCATCGGTGACACGGGGCAGGAGGCCTGAACAATGTCAACTCTAGCGTGGAGCGCGGCCCCGGACACTTCCCCGCCCGCGAGCCAGCCAGGGCGGCGCAGCGAGGAGCGGAGACGGCGCCTAAGAGGGCAACCAGGTCGAGGGCGCCGAAGCCCTGCGTGTACTGCGCGAGTGCTTGAGCGGGACCGATTGCACCTGCCGGTTTCCGGACGCGTTGCAACTCTCTCGGCATCGCCGCAGCGGCCATGACAGTAGCAGTGGGGAGGGACCGGGGGCAGGGGCTGGGCTGGAGTGTTGCTATACGCGGCCTTCTGAGGGCGTCTTGGCAGTCTCTCGGGCCGTCTGGAGAGCGTCGCAGGCGGCCCGAGAGGCTCCCAAGAGCGCCCAAAGACGGCCCAAGAGGCAGCCCCAAAGATGACCCTAGGAGGAACTCGAACTGACGTTTAGAGCCCTCCACTCCAAGATACCCTCCAAGAGCTCCCCAGGTGCTCCTGAGACGCCCCCCAAAAGGCCCCCAAGGGGCGCCCAAGAACCCAGGCACAGTGGCGAAAATGGCTCACGGCCGCTAGATAACTGGCCGTCCAAATTATCTTCTGTGGTTGTCGGGGATGTTTTGTTCAAGAAGAAACCCGTAGTATGTACAATGGGCCGAGGTCCAAAACCCTCGCTTGAGCTTCTTGATTAACGGCCTCGCTGTAGTCAAGCGTGTGCGAATATTGTGAGACCCATATGCACTTGTGCAGACCTTCTTCGGGGTCCATCGTCAACAACACCTTTGACCTTCGACAGGACCTGGGGGAGACGTGTTGGGACAGGGGTGATAACCTGGATCTCGCAGTGCTATTAATATCCACAAAAGGCTCCCGCGTGCAAATCGTTCCACGGCTTCTGAAAGTACTTCGATTACCCAGCATCCCTGAGCTCGTTGCCCATGCACCCTTCCACACGATCTGGGAGCTCTCCTCGTCCCAAGCCAGATTGAAGGTTGGCGTGACGCAAGCACGAGGGGGGCGCAACGGTCAGAAGGCACCGCAGAGTGGAGCCCGCGACAACAAAGTTGCGACGACCTCTACAGCAGCAGGGAATCCAAGGACGACGCCCAGGCGGAAGATTTGGCGAAAGGCCAGAGGGCTCAGGCGGAGCTGCTAGCGCCTCCCTGCCATGGCGCGGTTGTATGCTGCGTTGCTCTGACGCGTTAGACTGCCAAGCACAGCCCCTGTGGGCCTGCGCGCTGGTATCTTTGTGCTCGTTGTCAGCATGTTTGGCGCCGCACTCTTCTCTACTACCTCGCGGCTTCCTCGTAACCGCTCCAAGCCATCCCGTGCATCCCTGCTCACCCCGTCCCCGATCCCATGCCTGCCGTGAGGGAGACGGGTCGCTGAAAGGAAGCGGGCCCTGGACACTGGGGCTCACTGCAGGGCCAGATTTTTTCACTCCGGGTAGTGTTCGACGTTCTCGCGAAGGGGCCCGGGAGGGCGACGACGGCGAACAACATTCAGGACCCCTTGACTGCATGGTATGGCACTTGCTTCTCGCCGACCCCGTGTGCTGGCTTCCAGTGCCAGATGGCCGACTCCAGAAGCCCTGAATCGGGATGACGTTTGCTCCTCCATGCGCACTTGCACGCCTAGCCCGATGCGCTGTGGCCTCGTCCGCCTACTGGCCAACCCGTGTGGTTTGACCGCGTCTCTGTCTGTCTGTCGGTCTGTCTGTCTGTCTAGCTGTCTGTCGGTCGGTCTATCTTTCTGTCTGTCTGTCTCACTATTGCGTCCGTCACCTTCCGCCTGTGGAGCCGCCGCCAATTCACTTCCGCCGGCTTTCTCGGGCCTTCCGCTGACGGCGAGGTGCGCCGAAAGCGAAGCCCCTTCCTCTCCTCCGACGCCGCATTATTGCTATTCCGACGCCGCATTATCATTCGTGACCTGGCCCCCCGCTGTTCTCGACCCCGTTACTGGGTACTGGGCCTGGCTTTTCACATCCTGGGTTTGTTTTTGATGGTCCTGGGGCGGGGATACGGCCGTTAGAGGCAAAACATTTCAGGAAACCGGCCGCTGCGATATTTCTGCGACGCCTGGATTTGATTGGCTTCGCGCGATAATGGCCCTAGGCAATCGTGACCTGTGGTGCGCGGTGCATTAGGGGGCCGCGGGGGGAGGGGTTGGGGGCAAATGCACGGGCGCAGGCCAGTGCTGGCTGGGGGGACCCTGCCACAAGTCAATCCAACGAAGGGTCGCTCTCGTGCGCAGGCGATCTATCCCTCCTCCGCGGCCGCTCTCCTATTTTCTCGTAATCGTCGGTGCGCACTGACCTCTGCCGCGTCCCAGCTGGTGCTGCTGGGCGCTGGGTGTCCCACGCCGCCGCCGACAAAAAAAACAGGTGATCTCTGTGGATCCTGGAGCGCACCAGAATGTACCTGTCCAGCGGGCGGCCGCGCGACCCAGACATTCAGCGGCTCGACGTTTCGACGAAGAAAAACTGGCCGTCGCAATCTTTTCCCCAGACATCCGCCGACCCGTTTTTTCAGTGCAAGGCCCCGGAGGTCCCGACCGTTCCCACGGGTCAATTTTCCATGTCGGGTCCATTCCTGATGGCCCCGGGGCCCAGAAGCGGCCCCCCAAAGCCGAAACTTGGATGATTGTTTTGTCCAACACGCTCGAGCCGTAGTGTCATACAGCGCTTATCTTACCTTATCTCTCTGGTGCTCGGCCTGCATAGTCATCCAGCTGTCTTGGCCAAGCGCACACCTCCGTGTGGGCGGCCACTATCTTTCACTCTCCGCCTCTTCGGGCGCCCCAAATACAGCGGAGCGTGACGATCCACCTTTGATCACCACCCCAGAGAATCCAGCAGTGGAAACATGGGACCCAAATGGTCCTTTCGAGGCCAAACGCCTCGCAGCCAGGCTCAAGCGCTCGGAAGGGTGTCTACCACCACTCCGTCATTCACCATCACTTCAGCCGTCCAGCGCCGCACGTCGGGCCAGCCGGCTTCCACCCTCCCTCGCCGCGAAGCCCATCATCTCCAGGGATCCTTCGAGATACTTGGTACCTGTGTCGCTCGGGTTCTCGAGTCCTGCGATCTTGATCGCCCTCAGCCTCTTCTGCTGCGCCGCCTTCTGCAGCCAAAGCAGGGGCGTGCGCAAATGGCGAAAACGTCCCAATCCACAACGCTCTGCGATACTTTTGCCCGCGGTCGCGCCACACTTCGGAATCGCCCCTGGGTCCACGCCAATGTCGCGTGCGAGAATCTTGAGCCCAAGACCTACGCTGCCACCCTTCACCAGCGCGTGGAACTTCGCTTCTCCCGTGGTTAATGCAGTGGGTCCTTGGGTCGTCGAGCTGCTCCGAACCCAATGTCGGCTTATCATGGCCGTGCACGATGATGTGGACTTTCTCATTCGTAGGTAACCGTCGAAATCGCTGGCGGCGGAGACTATGCTGCTCGTCGATCTGCTTGTCGGACGTACTCCACCACCGGCCTCGGCTTGCCAATGGGGTAGCGGCCAATGCGCTTAATGGCTTGCCTTTCGCCAGATGTCGGACTCTGCATCGCCTGGGCCGTCTCCTTCGCCGCGTATAGCAGGTCAGGGCGATGTTGGGTTAAGTACTGGATGCGCATGCAAATGGATCGGTCGATAGCTCGCTCTCGGCCTTGGAGCTCCTCGCCGTGCATGTCCTGTCTCTTCACTTCATGCGTTGCCGCCGCTTTGCGCTCGCGGGCTTGCAGGCCCAGCTGCGCTAGGTTGATCTCAACGTGGCCGGGGACGGCCTCGCACTCTATGTTCTCGTCCTCCACTCCGCTCGGCCTGACCCACCTCGCGATCCTGCTGAGCCCCGCGATCTCGTTGATATCGCTGCAGGACGGATCTGGTCCCAATTCTCCACGAACTTTCACCATGATGCCCTCCCCGACCAGCTGCGAACTCCTTCGTCTCCTCTCGATCGCCGAGCACCGCGAAGTCGGCGCCGTGCATCCATGCGACGAGCTCGCCCACCATGTAGATGCATGGCGAGAGCTCGCCCTGCTTCGCCTTCAGGGTCCTCGCCATGATGTCCTGCGCCATATGGTCGAACGCCGATCCAGCATCGCGTAGCCCGTGCGTCGCCTTGAGCAGCAACCGACGCGATTCCTCTTTGCCGTCATGATCTTCCGCTGGCGCCTTCAGGTAGACTGGCCTCTTCAGCTCGGAGTGCAAATGGGCCCTCGAAGTATCGATGGAGGTCAGCACTCGGTCGCGCTTCCTGCGCGGCATGGCCATGGACCGGAACATCCTCAAGCCCCTCAGCGGCGGCGTCGCCGCGAACGTTGCCGCCGCGTCTGCAGGTTCAGATGTGCTGAGCCTCCTCGTCTCTTTCGCCGCCAGCCGGCTCCCCAGCTCAAGCTCGGACTCGTCGCCCTTATTGGTGTCGGCCCAGCCGCCGGATAGCGGCCTGGCGCCCGTGAGTCGCAACGCCGCGCTTATCTTCCTCCTGTCGAACGCCCAGCCGGGGCATGTAACCAATCTCGTCAAGTCGGGCGTTATTGACAACCGCGGGGTCCCGCACGGCCTCGCTGATCCCGTCGTAGAGGGTCGCCATCTCCACCTGGCCAGGACCTCTGGCTCCTCCGCAGTCTGGCCCACGTCGAACGCGTGGAGTCCGTGCCCGATCTTCAGCTCGCCCCTGATCCCGCGCAGGACAGCCTTGACCAGCTCCATCGGGTACCTCACTGCCGCCTTCGAGCTCCTCTTCAGGAAGTGAAAATGATCGTGGCTCCCGTCGGACAGGACGCCGACCTGCTCCGCCACTCTGGGGCTGTTCGTCATCCAGCCAGCCGGCTTCGCCACGGCGCCCTCCGAGCCAACCGGCCAGTGCGACTTAGCACCGAACGCGCACTTGTTACCCTTGACCACCACCGCTCCTGGAAGCTCTGGGACCTCCCCTGATGCACTCCTGCTTCCAACTCGTAGGGGCCCACGGATGCTCGAAGAGGAAGAACTTCTTCTTCGCGTGCTGGTAGGCGGCCATCTCCATGCATGAGTCCAGGTCGACCTTGCGCTCCGCGAGCAGTATCTGGAACTTCGCCTCGTCCCTCTTGCCGCTCGCCTCAGCAACTCCATCAGCTGCGAGAGCGGAGTGCACATAGGCGACGCGATGAGGAACGCCAGGTCGCCTTCCTCGACTTCTACCCCAGCTCGCTTGCGATCCTCCCTGAGCCAGAAGTCCCAGCCCGTCCTGATATCCATCGCAGCTCCAGGCTTCAGACATAACTTTTGTGCGCACTTGGCCAACTCCCCTGTGTTGAATACATCGGCCCAATGAAAGTTCCGGGAATTTTCATCACGACGCTGGCCGGTGGAAGTCGACGGAAGTAAAACGAGGCGGAAGACGGGGGAAGGCCGCCGGAAGGCTTGCAAATGTCAGCGGAAGTAAACGACGCCCCTTCCGAACCTCCTACCCCCGTGGAAGCCTAGCAATGTTGTCTTCCTCCGTGGGCCGGGCGGGATCCCGCCTGGCCTATTCCGCTTTAATATTATAAGTTTAGTTCAGGACGATCAAAATCCCACCCATTAAAAATTGGGTCGACCCAAATCCCGGGCCATTCAAGGATCCCACCATGCTGGGATCGGCTCTAAGTAAGATGGGGTTCATAAATTGCAATCTTATTGCCGTGTTCGGGTCGTCTTGAGGTCATCTTGAGATCATATCCAGGTCATGTTTGAATCACGCAACCATCGCGTGGTCATTATGAGGCCACCCTGGGTGCGCTTGGATCAGTCTTGTTGCCATCGGGCCATCTCGGCGTCACGCGTTGCTCATGTGTTTCGTCATCTGCGAGTCGGCATGAGACGGTCCAGAATCCATGGCGGGATCGCGTTGGGGTGGCATCATCCTGGGTCCTCTGGGCGTTATCGTCCGTGGCCTGAGGCATTCCTGGAAGCATGTTGTGGCCATGGGACGTCTTGGGATCGCGTGCGTGCGAACGCTGAGCACGCGCGCGCGACTTTTCATCTTGCCGACGGGTTTACATCCATATTATTCCTCTTGCGAGTTTCCAAGGAAACTTTTGTTGGAGCCAAGTATCTCCTGCAAGTCCAGGCTGTCTATGCCTGGCAGCTCCAGCAGTGCGCTGATCCCCCTCGCGTCGTCGGCCATTTCCACGTCCGCGCTCGCTGCGGGCCCGCCTGTCGAAGCTGCGCCCGACAAGCTTGCCTCGGGGTGTCCGCCGCCAGGCAGGGCCTCCACTCGTCCACGTTTCGCCTGCGGCTCCTCGGCTTCTGGTCGCTCGGTCCTCTCGTGACCTGATCTCCTCGCCGCAGGGGGGCCTCCGCAGCGCTCGCGTAACTGCCGGAGACGCTATCGTCCGCCATCGCCTTCTGGATCCTGGCGCTGCGCTCCACGTTCTGCGTGGTCGCCCTCGGGATGCCCCGAGCCGCCGCGCGCCCGCGGCAGCCCTGGGTGTAGCCGTGGCGCCGCAACTCCATGTCCTCCTTGACGCAGTCGCGCTTCGGCGCCGACGGGCCCGCGGGTCCGCGGGCAAGGGGTAGGTCCGCGTTCGGCGCCGCCTGGTCGGCCGCGTTTTTGACCGCTGCCTGCGGCGCCTCCAATCTTTCGCCTCCTTGCCCAGGAACGGGCTGCCGCGGGGCGCCCTTCAGCTCCGTGAAGAGCACCCTGTCCGCTCTAGACGAGGGCGGGGGCCCGCGGGCGCTCCTCGCCCGCGTCGCCACCTGCGGCATCGCCGCGTGCACCTCGTCGCTGTCGTCTCTGATGCCGTAGAAGACGCCCTCGAGCAATTCGCCCGCCAACCGCGACTCCGCTTGCCAACTGGCGTAGAGAACCTCCTCGCGGAACCCTGGGGGCGGCCCCTTGCGCGGTCGCCCCGTCCTCAGCTCGCAAGGGGCGCGGCCGCCCGAGCCCGTCTGGCCCCTGTTGCGCGTGGCCGGGCCGTGCCTGATCAGCCGCGGCGAAGCCAAGTGGTGCGGGGCTCTCGTGGCGCCGTGCATCTTTTTCGTCGTGTTTTTGAAAGGCCCCTCGTGTCCTTGGCCGCTCCGTCGGCCAAACCATTGGACTGGGACTCGCCGACGGCCGAGGTCTCGATCGCGCGCTCGACCCCGTGGCCCCTGTTGAGCGTCTTCATGGCCTCGCCCCTCAGCGCTGAGATGCTGGGCATGTTGTCGCAGCGGAAAAAGGCCTTCTTGAAGCTGGCGCGCAGCGCTAACTTCATCGGCACCTCCGCGCTGTGCTCAGGTCTCGATCTCCTGCTCGTCAACGCCTCGGCGCCAATGTGCCACTGCAGGGGCCCCCTCATGAGCGAGGTCAGGGGTGCGTTCTCGCCGCTGCCGCGGCGGCCGTAGTCGAGCACCGCGACTGGAACTGCGCCCCCATCGTGACTCCTCGTGGCGCAGGGCTCCGCGCGCCCGCGCCTGGCCGCGCAGTGCCCGCGCGGGGCCCGAAACGGCGTGCGCGACACTTCGTGGCCTTCTCGGTCCTGCTGCGTCGGTTCGCGCGGCCCGACTCGCCGCCCTCGCCGCGGGGCCGCTCTCGCGCTCCCTCTGGCGCTGGCGGAGGCGGTCCTGGCCGAGGAGCTCGTTCCCCTTGAACTGTTTCTCTTGCTGGCTCCAGCGGCGCTGCCGGGGCGCTTCCCAAAGGCCGCGGCGTTGCCGGGGCGCTTCCCGGCGCCCGACCACCTCTGGCATCTCCCATCTCCGTCGCCTCGGACCATGCAGAGAACCCTCGTCTTGCGATCCCTGCTCTGGCCCAGCTTGGAGAAGCCGACCGCGCTCTCTATCGCCTCCATCGCCTGGGTGTAGGGCAAGAAGTCCATCTTAATGTAGAATTCGTTGCGCCGTGTTCGGAGCGGGGTGACTGCCCCCGATGTACTATTCAGCGCGAAGCTGCCGTCCGAGTCGAACGCGAGCCTGCGCTCCGCGTCGACCACCCCCGAGATTGACTCACGGCTGCCCCTCTCGCCTTGGTTCCTCGCGCATGCGCAGCGCCGTCGGAGCCGATCGCCTCTCCAACCAGGTTCTTCGTGCCCTTGTCGGCGACGCAGCCGCCGTTCGCCGTGCGGTGGCGCTCGCCCGTGGCATCATTGTCATTCTCGTCCGTCGGGTAGTCTGACGAAATGTCCTTTGGCGCCGCCGTCGTGGCTGCGCGCGAGTCGATGCCCGTCGCAACCTCGCGGCTGGCCCTGCGCGTGTCCGCTCCGAGCCTACTCAACTCGTGAACCAGCCTGTCGTCCATCCGTCCGTGATCCACGATCAGGTCGAACGCCTTCTCGTCGACCGTGAATAGCGCAAGCCGCAGCACGCGCGGCGACTTCTCCTGTTCGGGCTCGCACGCGTGGAGGTTCTTCTTCTTCGGGCAGTCCCGGGAGATGTGCCCGTAGTCCTGGCAATTGAAGCACTTGGAACCATTTCCTTCGCCGACCTTCGTCTTGCCAGTCTTGTTGGCTTTGCCTTTTCCACGTCCTTTGCCCTTGCCGCCTTTGTCGTCTCCTTTGTTGCCTCGACCTCTTCCAGCGCCACCGCCTTTGCGATGCCAGCAATCCCTCTCGTCGTGGCCCGTGCCCCCGCAAATGTTACATCGACCTTCGTGTTTGCCTTCGCTCTTGAACGCCGGAAGAGGTCCATGGGCGCCACTCCGCCGTTGACCGCCGCGGCTGCTGCTTGAGAGCGCCTCGCTTTCATAATCTCCTCTCGAAGCTTCGGACACTTTTTCACTCTCTGTGCCTTTCTGATCCTGTGCTGTCTCAGTGGCGACTCAGGAAGCAGTCGAAGAAAAATGGCTATCACGATCGCACCGCTGAAAGTCTCGTCGGAGGCTGACTCGTGCAGGCTGATCTCGCGCTTGACGCTTCGGGCCGGACCATCATGTCGTCATTGAAGTCCAAGCCAGTAGCGTCATCAACTGCCCAGCGTATCTGCTTGCCGCCTGGGGCCAACCGTAAGTGTAGTAGCCGCCGTGCCTCGAATCCTTCCATCTTGCCCGCCTTTAGCACCACGTCGAGCGCTTGACTCCTGCACGTCTGGATAAGCGGGTAGCCAACCGTTCTCTCGAGTTGCTGGTCGCCTGGCTCGAGGTTGGTCGTGATCACAGGGCCGCCGATCTCTTTGCATTCGCTATCGCCGCGGCCATTTTCGGGCTCGTAGCTCCTGCCAAGGCGTTTAACAGCAGAGACTAATCTCGCCATGGCAGTTTGGCTCCATCGAACATCGCGGGTTTGCCAATCACCTTCATCTCCGCGGCAATTCATTGTGGTACTGGATTTGCGGGGGCGGCCGCCGCAGCCGCTGCCGACCTCGCTTGACCTGCTCGATCTGCTGCTGCCTGGGCGGCTCCAGCCGCTCTACCTGCGGCGTCCGCCTCTGCTCGTGATTGTCGTAGCTCCGCCTGAACTTGTTCCAGGGCTTGGCGGAGGGCTTGGACATCCTGAACTGAAGCCATCTTGACCCTGCTGCTTGATCTCGTTCAGCAAGCGTTCTAAGCGCCACCAACACCGTGTCTTGAACGCAAGACGGGCCACCCTACGGGCGAAGCTCGCCCACGTCCGGACCACCTCCACCCTTTTGTCGAACATCTCGAACTCGCCCTCCGCCGCCCGCTCCCTGTCTGGCTCCCTGGCCAGATCCGCTGCCCGCAATCGCTCGCGGGGCGCTGGGGCGAGCTGGCGGGACATCCGCTCACGATACCGTGGATGATCATTTCCCCCACAGCGCTCGAGCCGTAATGTGACACGGCCCTGATCATCTCATCTCTTCTCTCTGCTTTTCGGGCTGCATCATTATTCATCCCAACTTAAAGGGACACGCCAACATGTCAAACACCACATCGTCGGACCGTGGGGTCCGACGTTGCGAGAAAGAAAAGCTACACCATCGTGAAACCTCGTCACCAAGGCCCCGGACCCCATCTTGCTGCACCACCTGTCGAGCTGGAACGATCTGTGAGAGTCCTGGGGCCCGACACCGGGTGAATACGCCCAGCTGCAACAAAAATCTCCAGGATCTCAAAGGAGATCGGATTTTTTTCGGGAGCGGCCAAGAGGGGGGTGTCCAAGAGGGGGGGTGCAAATCATGACCGGCGGCATGTGCGCTGCCCAGCGGGGGGGCCAGGGACGTAATGAAATAAGAAGAGGCGCCATAAAATCTGGGGGAATATCATGCCCCCGCCATGATATCCCCCCCCCCTAGTCATCACTCCCCTCTTTTCCGCCCCCGATTTTTATGGCGCGGGAGTGTCTGTGGACGCGGGCCGCCGACGCGGCGGCGGCGGCGGTCGAAGGCGGCGCGGAGGCGCCTCGCGAGAGCTCCGGGCGGCCGCGCTCCGCGAGCGCTGCGGGGCCGCCGGCCGCCCCGGGCTGCTCCGCGCGCCTGCTCGCCTGGCGCGGCAGGGGCTGCAGAGGCAGCGCTCCCTCGCCTCGGCAGGCCCTTCGGGCTCCTCCTCCTCCTCCTCCTCCTCCTCCTCCTCCTCCTCGCTCCCTCGAATAGATCCTGGCGTCCCCACCTTTTTTGGGCCGGGGATTCTCGCTCCATGTCGGGCCCGGGGGCCCTCACGGCTCGATCCCGGTCGCAGAATGGCGCAGAGAGCTGGGGTCCAGGGCTCTGGCCGTGACTTCTCGGATCTCGGGGGAGGTCGGCGGCTGAATTCGGCCCGGGAGGAGCCCCTGGGTCACCTAACTTCGCGCATCGCCCCGGGATGCGCGATTATCTTGGCGCCATCGCGCCGCTCCAATTGGGGAAGAAGGGGCAACCGCTCCAGCCCAAACCGCGACGCGCGAAGCGCAGTTCACTTCGCGGCCCCGCCCCCCCTCGCTGACGCGGGTGCTGGCGAGCCAACGCTCTCGCCTCTGCAGCGGCCTGCGGCAATTGCGATGCGGGATGAGCCCACGTTCGAGGGCAGATTTCTTTGGGCCGTCCTAGCGGTTCCCAGCGGTTTCCATCCTCGAGGTGCCTTCCAGCAACTGCGCTTCGCCGAGAGCGTTCCGAGGGTGCCCGGATCGTGCCGAGCGGCCGCTGGAGACCCGACTTTTGGATCGAAAACCACTCGGAGCCTAAACATCTAGCGTCTCGAAAAAGTCAGAGCGGATTTGGCTTAGTCGTTGTCGGCCTTAGCGGGTCCTGGGGGGGCACCGTGCTGGAAAGATCAAACAATCGGATATCTGGGCTTGTCGCGCCACCCACCGCCCAGCAACCCGAGACATGCGATGTTTTTTTTTTGGATGCGAGGACCCTGGAAGTCCAAACCCTTTCCCCAGGAGCAACTTCTCACCCGAACCGATCTTGTGACGGTCCCGAAATCCAGCGAGGGCCCCTTGAGGCCGAAGACGTCCGAAAGCCTTTCTTTTATCCTTTTCTAGTGACGCGAGCATGTCTGGGGAGGTAATGGCTGCGCGACGTGCGCGACGCGGGCAAGATCCCTGTCACGCCCGGAGCTCCGCTTGGCAAGCATCTCCGAGGCGACCTGGCTTTCGCCGCTTTGGGCCAGATCAGACTGAAACAATCAGGCCAGACAATCAAAGCACGTCGATGCATTTTGTTGCCAGCATCGATCAGAGCACGTCTCCGGGTCGCGGGGCCGTCAAAGAACTGGTTCGGGACAAACAACAGCGTCCAGCCGCTGAACGTCTGGGCCCATACTTTTACTTTTCCGGGAGGGTCTGGCTGAGCTCACGGAACGGGGGCCCCGTCGTGATACAGTCATCGTGCCACCATGAGGAACGCCAGATAAGGAACTAATCGGCTATTCTGGCCACGGCGGAGTCCAGGTCAGGAACGAGCTCCCCGGCCCCGGCCTGAGGCACGGCCCGAACATCAGAGCTCCTCCCGAGCCCCAGGTGGTTCTTACTTCGGCGTCTCGGCTGCAGCCGAACCTGGGGGGGTGGAGGGCAGATCCGAAGTCGGCTCAGGGCCGCGCGGCCCAGATCGGCTGCGGGGGGCGGCACGCAGGGGCGCGGGGGGCCTCGCGACGCTGCAGGAAGAACAGGGGAGCGGATGGCTCCAGCGGGAGAGGACGCAGGGGCCTCGCCCCGTCGGATCGGCCAGGCCGCATTCGGTCTTGGATGCAGGGGTCTCTTTCGTGCAGCAGGATGGGGCGTTTGGCGGTCGCTGGACTGCTGGCGGGTGCTGCGATTTGCCAAACTCGCTTCCCGAGGGTCTGCCAGAGAGATCTGCGTTTTTCTCGCGTGCCTGCCTGGGCCGTGTCCCACCAGCACAGGTACTGCCAGGCCTTAGCACGAAGCGCACAGGGTCTGGAGAAACCTTGTCAGCCATCGGGGTTTCTCTGCCACTCGGGACAAACCTCTGTCTAATGTCTAACCCTTGTGAAACCAGCCCGTTGGTTTCGAATGGCTCTCTGGGCTGCGGGCCTCGAGAATTCATGTATGGATAGATAATATCAGGAGAAATTCCAAAGAACTGCACAAAGATAACACCAAGACAATACCGTGATCGTGGTTGACGATGGTGCCGTCTGCAAGCGGAATGGGGCGGGACAAATCGGCCTGGCAGCGTCGTAGCCCAAGGACGGGGATGTCAGCCGTCGCATTTGCATCAAACACATGAACACCCTTTATCTTGAAAAAACCATCTGCACCCTAGTGCCCGGGAAAGCCCGTGGCCTGCTCAACCTCCTCGGCCTTCGGCGGCGGCCACTCAGCGCTGCGCACCGTCCTCGTGGGCAGGGGGCGCAGAAGAGAACGGCACACGTGCGGGCTGCAATGGAAGAATAATCGTGGCGACAGTCCTCAGATCGGCTCCGATCAAGCGCGTGTGACACTGCACTGCGGCCAGGCCCGTCAGGCGCCCTCACGGCACGCGTCCCAAGCGCACGGCCGCGCCTGAGTTTCTCTTGTTTGTGTCTGTTCGTGGAACGCTCTCCCATGCTGGCCAACATTGCGTTCAAGATTGCATTTGAAATTCTGTGATCGGGAGGGAGCCAGCAGCATGCGCATAAAGGGGTTAGGGAATGAACGCCTCGCGGCGCCGGAGGCGGCAATGTATCGAGGAGGTCGTCGGGCGGCGGGGCCGAAACCAGCTGCGCGCGGCACATTCCATGCCCCCCTCCCACTGCTCCCCCCCAGTCCCGTCCGCCCCGATGCGAAACTGTCGCGCTCCAAAACTCCAGTGACCCCGCCATCCGCTCGCCCGCGTCACTCGCTAGACAGCGAGCCTGCGCCGGAATACTGCAGACTTGCACACTGTGCGGACTTCTGGGCTCCCGATCCCCGCTCTGCCTCCCTCCGCTTCCCGTCCCCGTCCTTCCTTCCCTCTCCTCACGACTCCTCTCCCTGTCCCTCTTCGCCTCTTTCTGCCCCTCCGTGCTCTCCCCATCCACCGCCCTCCCTCCTTGATTATTTCCCTCTCTCTCTCTCTCCTTTCCTCCCTGCTCAACCTCTCTCTGTTCTTCTCTCTCTCTCTCCCTCTGTCATCTCTCTGTTTCTGTCCCACTCCCCATCGCACTCATTTCGTTTTTGCCGGCCGTCGTCATTCCGCCTTTGCTCGAGTCGGTTCGTTTCCGTCGTTTGTTTGTTTGTTTGTTTGTCTGTTTTAGTGTGTATTTGAGCGTGTCCTGTCTCGGGAGTTCTTAAACCGTCGAATACAACCCAACGGCGCACCAGAAGAACAAATGTTTGTGTATATTCCGTAACGAATGACTGCGATATATGAGCTAGTGTAGTTGTATCTATTCCGCCCGCTGGTATCTTACTCGTGCGTGGGCTCGTTGGTTTGGACAGCCTTCTATTGGGGACTCGTCCTTTCACCAGTCCGCGTGGTCAGGTTGCCGACGAGATCGTATGATCACACTGCACCAATGTGCACACACAGTTGTCTAAACTTGCGCGAACGGCTGTGAGTGTGTAGGGGCGAAGGCGACCCCTTCCCTTGTATGAATTGAAATGGGCCAGATGGTCACGCGAGATCGTGCCAACTCCACAACCAGGAGCGCGAGCTGCTAAGGAATCGTTGGGACGGCGTACCTGCGCTCGGAATTTGATGCGCGTGCTTCTGGTCAAGAGTTCATTGACATACGACGTGCGTCTGCGTGCTGCGTATGGGACCACAGAGCGTCGGTAAAGGCAATCCATGGATGCATGCCGCAGGCGTCCTGGCAGCCATGGCGCTGGCGAGGCGCTTTGTTCACAATGTTTGGCAACACATGCGCGAGTATCTTCGAAGAAAGCGAGCCAAGTCTATTGCTGCGGCGCCCGAGGCTCGAAACTGCCTTCCAGAAAACGGAATTCACATAAGCACGCGCAACTTCGCGTTCGTGGGCTGCTGAACGCTCAAGTGGCTGGTGAAGAAACAATGCCCTTTGCACACTCGGTCCACGAGGAGCGCCTTTCTCTCCCATGGGACGGAGAGATGGCCGAGCTCAACCAGACGTGAAACGCAAAGCACGAGCTGAGCCCAACGCCTTCATTCGCTCACGCGCACATCGCGTTCGCGGCCGTTGTCGCGGCCTGTCCCCCCGCCTTCCTTTGGTCCTCCTGCTCCTCCGCTCCTCCTGCGGCCGCTGCTGTTCCTCCTCCTCCGCCTCCTTCCTCGTCCTCTTCGTCTGCCTCCCGCCCATCCCCCTGCCTGCTCCCCCGCCACCACCACTCCCTCCTTCCTCCTTCCTCCTCCTCCTCCTCCTCCTCCTCCTCCTCCTCCTCCTCCTCCTCCTCCCCCTTCCTCCCCAAATGTGCGCAGCTCTTCCTCTCCCTCCCCAGATGTACACAGCTCCCCTCTCTGACTGCGCACAACACGATAGGGATCATCTTGGGGTTACTGGTCTCTGCTATGACACCCGTCGGCGAAGAGAGACAAATCAGCGCTATGGGAAGGGATGGGTGGGAAGGGTTGGATGTCAGAATTAGCGCGAGCGCACCTAGCCTGCCCCTCTTCCCTCTACAATGACACATTCCGAATACTACTGCCCTCTATCCCCTGACCCGGTCCAGAAGATATCTGTCTCACTCCGCGTACTGGTTTTACCCACACAGAACTTCACATCATGTTTTGCTGCTGTTGTTGTTGTTGTTGCTGCTGCTGTTATTTTTGCTGTGCTTGCTTTCTTCAATCCGATCGTTTTCGGTCCTTCAAACTTGTGCTCCCGCTGCAGCACTACCCTCATTTGACGGTCGGCGCTTTACCCCCATCGTTCAGAATGGCACTCTCGCCTCAGTGCGGGCTTTCTTTCTGGATCCGAATTTTTCCTCATCATTCGCCCGCCTCCTTTCGCCTCCTTTGCCTTTCCCTTGGTCCTCCTGCTCCTCCCGCTCCTTGTACTCCAGCTCTTGCTGCTGCTGCTGCTGTTCGTTCTCGTCCTCCTCTTTCCTCATCCCCCCTTTTTTCCTCCTGCTCATCCGCCACCCTTCGTACGTGTCTGCGGATGAAGAGAAGTCAGCGCCATGGGCATGGGGTGGGAGTAGTAGGATGCCAGACATGCCGCGAGCGCACCTAGCTTGTCCCCCACCCCCCCTCTCCCTACAATTGCACATTATGACCAGGATCAACGCGGTGGGAAGGGATGGGCGGAAAGGGTAGGATGCAGTAAGTGGCGCGAGCGCGCCTGGGTTGCCCCCCTCTCCCCCTCTCTCACACACTTTCGGTCGTCTGCGGGTGGGCGCAGCGTCACGTCGTTTATGGAAATAGCCGACGCGCGCGCACTGGAGAGGAAGGAAGTGTCCGGCCCGTCACGGGGCAGTGGCAGGGCAGCGGCAGGGCCGGCGGGAGCGTGGGCGGCGGGCAAGGACCCGAGCAAGGTGCCCACCAGAATTAGGCGGGCGAGGAACGGCCGAGGCAGAAGCCAGGGCCAAGCAAGGGGGCAGAAGCTCTCACACACGCGCACGCAACCTCCCAGAACGCCCCAGGGTGCTCTGTTCTCCAGCGGTGCCTCGGGCGCGGAGGCGACCGCGTGCCGCCCAGGGTGCCCGATCCTCTGCGGGCAGGGCAGGAGGCGGCGGCCGCGCAAGAAGGCAGCAGCCCACGCGTACGCTGCGTCGTCGGCGCCCTCCTGCCACTCTTGCCGCTGGGCGCCGTGGAGGCTTCTGCAGACAGGATGGGCGCATGGGGCGTGCAGCGTGGTGCAGCCTGGATTCAAGAGTCGTGCTGGCTCATTCTTCGCTAGCGGCTCGGCCATGCTCCTCGGTGTGCGCTCTCGGTTCGCGAGCGTCTTTCCACGGTTCGATCTCTCGCTGGTGGTGCAGGGCGACTCCCGCCGGAGCTGGGCCCGTGATCTCGCCTCGTGGAGGGATTGGCAGTTGACGCGAGTGCATGCGGTACTCAATGAGCAAACCGTTTGTGGAGGAAGGAGTGAACTCCAGAGGGACCAGACACTGGTGCATCGCCTCTCGAACACGCCTTGTTCGGTTGGCAAAACAAGCGGGGTAGTGGCGGCGCTTGCGGGGCCAACCTTTGCGTCCGCCGTTTTCCACTGGCGGAACCGCCCTCGTTTTGCTTCCGTCAACTTCCGCAGGCCTTCCACCGATGCAGATGTGTAGCTGTTTCGACGCCTGGAAGTTAAATCCATCCACGGAAGGCCCTACGTGCATGCGGCGGCATCCCAAATTCCGCCTCGGACGAGCGCCGTCTCCAGCGAGCGCACTTGCCGCCGCTGGGAACAGCCGCTCCCAAACACTGTGGTGAGGAACTCGTGCTTAGCGTGTCGCGGCGGCGGCGGCGGCCCCTGCGACTGCCGTGCATTGCCAGCGGATGGCGTGGTCGCTCCGCTCCTCGGGATGGGAAGCTCGGCAAGGCTCAGAACGCTGATACCTAGGGGACTGGAGCGTTCTTGGCGTGTCGCGCCGAAGCGAGGTGGGCCAGAACTGGCGGCGCGACACGCCGAACAAACATTCGTGACCTTAGTCCGATGTGGGCGCGCACGCCCGATTCGCGCCCAGCGGTCTTGTACTCAAAGCCCACAGCAGCTAACCATGCCAAGTAAGTTCGAAACCCGATTGTATGTCCACGTTTAGAAACATCGTCAGCAGCACACGACCGACAACATCGGGTCATCGAAGTCACTCAACTCCGCTATCTTCGCGCCGTGGCGCCGCACCCTTGGAGAATGGCAGCCGCTCTGGCCCAGGCTGCGACGCGCGAAGCGCGAGTATCTTCGCGCCCCCGCGGATTAACTAGAATATTACGTAGCCTTGACAACATACTGCGTCCTTAATGTGGGCTGTGGCTGGACACCGTGACGCATCGTGGTGGAGTGCGCAGGTAATTGGCGCGATCGTGCAGGACGCAGAAGTCCTGGCCCAGTCGATGGCGCTGGAGCCTGGAGCAGTGGTCAAGAAGCTCGGTTCTCGTGAGGGTGGCCTCCTCTGTCCATGGAGCCTCGGGGGCCAGGCTGAGATTCATCGACCGAGCTGCTGTCCGCGCGCACCCTGCTGCAGCTCGCCACGCTCTTCCAAGATCTTCGGGCGACCTGGGAGGCCACTGGCGCCGTCTCGGGTTGTTGGAAGCCCGGTGCGGGCAGAAGGCCCACGACACCCTCGCGGCAGAAGACCCTAAACAGCTCATGGAGGGGGGTCACGGTGTGGAGCCACGATGGGCCACCGATTTCGGGGGCCCGGCTCCGCCCACGGGCACGAGAAATACCGAATCTAAGGCCCATGCAGACGAGCCGCTCATGGAAAGTGCTTCAAGCACCTTCGGGTGGAGCAGCGCGGTCTGCCACGTGGGGCCGTCTGGGGAGTCCTCCTGGGTGCCAGGGTGGGTCGGGGAGGCCAGGCCCGCAGCCGCGGTCGGAGAGGACACCCAGGCATGCGATGTCTTGACTTTTCCAGTGCGCGGCCCCCGGAAGTCACGCCTCCCATCCTGTTCTTCTCCACGGCGCCAGCGTGTCTGGGGTGGTCGGGGGGCAGAGGCGGTGCGCAGACGGCACCGCGGCCCTGCAAAGAGGCTCCCAGAGGCCGAACACGACTGCATCCTTACGCGTTTTTCTTTCACGACGCGAGCGTGTCTGGGCAGGCACCTCCAGGCACGCCCCCTCGGCGGGGGGGGGGGCGCAGGGGCCTCGGGCTCCGCGCCCCTCGGGGGCTGCCACCCTGGGGCCCTCCACAGAGGACGCCTGGCGGCCCGAGCCAGAGTCGAGGCGGCCTCTCTTCCTCGCCATCCTGGCCGCTGCTGACTGGGGGGGGAAGGGGGGGGGGGGCGATTTGCCGGGGTCGAAGGAACGTGATTTTTTGTGTTCCCTCTTTTTTTGCCCCAGGCGGCGCCTTTGGTGCTCCCAAGGTGCACAGCAGGTGCACCTCAGGGTGGGCCCGTTCGTGTACCTCCTCCAGGGCCCCGAGAGGCCCCCCCGGTGCACAGACGGGCCCTGAGCGCTGCCGTGGGCCCCCCGCCGATCGCACCCCCGGTGCGCAACGCCCGACCATCTCATGGGCCTCCACCGCTGGCCTCGCGGGCCTTCACCACCGCGGGCCGCCAGAAAACGACTCGGGATGGCACGCCAGCCTCGGGGGGGCACGTCTTCGGCCTCCGGGCCGGCCTCGCCGGGCCCCGCGGCCGTCGACAAAGCAGGAGGAGGAGGAGGAGGAGGAGGAGGAGGAGGAGGAGGAGGAGGAGAAGGAGGAGGAGGAGGAGGAGGAGGAGGAGGAGGAGGAGGAAGAGGAGGAGGAGGAGGAGAGGAGGAGGAGGAGGAGGAGGAGGAGGAGGATGAGGGGGAGGAGGAGGACTTCTGGAGGTTGCGCATTGAACACCCTGCTGGAGCCGCTGTTCAGCAGGCTGTCGGGAACCAGCGATTTTTTCTCATGGCGCAAGGCATATCCGAGTGATTCCTTGTTCCAGCAGTGACGTGAGGGAGCGACTACAAGCCGCGGGCGCGCAGGGAATCGCGAGGGGACACAAAGCAAATCAAGACATCGCGTGTCTGTGGAGAGGCCTGGGGGGCCATGCCTCGAAGGCTCGACAAGATGGAGACGCCAGGATCTCAGGTTTGCTGCGCTTGGCGTCGCATGCCAGCGTCATTTGGGCAGCGCGCGCTCAACGCCTGCCTGTTCTGGTGGCGTGGCGTGCCAGCTCGCAAGCGTCCGATGGACACTTTTCCCCATCCTGCTGACCACCTTACTCTGTTTCTGGCCTCCGTGCGCCGCTCCACTCCGCACTCTTCTCCTCCACCTCCACCACCTCCTCCTCCTCCTCCTCCTCCTCCTCCTCCTCCTCCTCCTCCACAGTCTACAATGCTTCGCCGCTGACCGCCTCATCCCTACACGTGGATTTCGGCACCCTTTAAGCCTATAGCGCGCCATGGATATCTTCACCCTTCTCCTCATCATGATCCTGGCCTTCTCCCATCATGTCATCTTGCTTTGCACTCCCAGGCTCCTGTGCATGTCGGCGTCCAGCTTGGAGTTCACGTCCACCGCGCCCCTCTGACGTTCTCGTGCAGAGGCTGCGCAGAGCGAGGCGATGGAGGAGTCGCCAGCATACACTAACTCTTCAGAGCGTCTGGGGCTATCAAGATTGAGGTCTCAATCATCGTGATAAGCACTTGTTCGCGGGCGGTCCACGACTGCCACATTTGGGCGCGAAAGCGACTTAGACCCCAATGTCAAGCCAGGCGTAAACGTTGTGTATACCCTTTTTTTTGCGGCCTACAAACAATAATAATTCAGTTGGCGCTGCCACTCTTGCCGCCCCTGGCACACTGTTCTGTTCCGACTCCGTCCAATCTCCAAACTTTCGGTTTCCCTCTCTCTTCATGTCTGGGCGTGCTCCCCTGCTATAGCCCCTTTCCGCAGCCGCCCTCCTCTTGTCCTTGCGTGTAGCATGTAAAATCAACTCGGCCGTGGCCCAACCAATTCCCAACAGCTTCGTTTTCCGCTCACGCCGCTGCGACAACAAAAAACAATTCCATGCCACTGCCTCCTGGCCTCCACTGGGCGCAAAGGCCTGGCGCACATCGGTGGCGCAGGGGTGCTTCCTCCACTGCGAGCGCATTGCCCCCGCCTGGAGGACCATGGCCCGGTGTGCCTCGCTCGCCATCGTGCTCAAGGGATCGATTTTCGCACGCGGCTGCGTCGGCGTGTGACCACGGGGAGGGGCGGCGGGTGCAAGCAGTACCCAGACCACAAGGGCCAGAACGAGTCCGAGCTCCGATGGAGGGGAGAGCGGGAGATCATGGCGGAGGGGAGCGCGGGGAGCTGTCGGGGGGCAGGCCCAGACACGCGACGCCCTGACTTCTTCAGTGCGCGGTCCTCGGAAGTCCCGACCCTCTCCCCGGGGCCAGCTGTGCATGCCGCGCCGTCTTTAGAGACGGCCCCCTGGCCTGGCGAGGGCCTCCGAGAGGCCGAAAACGGCCAAGCACCTCCCGACGTGCTTTTGCCACGACGCGAGCGTGCCTGGGGTGGTCCCTCGGGGGGCAGGGGCGGCGCGCAGAGGCGGCAGCGCGGGCGTGGGCCGGAAGGGGCGCCGGGGCCGCGGCGTGCCTGGCGGCGGCGCGCCGGTGGCACGCCAGCGCCGCAGGCCCGCGAGGTGCTGCTGCAGGGAGTGCTGGGCGGCCTGCGCCGCGGAGGGCGGCGGGTGGCCGGACTCTGCGGTTGCTGACGGGAGGCGCACGCGGCAAGAGGTCTTACGACGAGGAGTCTTGGGGCCTGATGCTTCGTCGATCTCTGGGGCTCCTGGGGTGCCCCTGGGCTTCTGTGGGTCCCTGGGGCCATCGGGTGATGATACATTTCCGTGGGGCAACTGCCAGCAGGCCGACTTCTTGTTTGATGCGCCAACTGTATTCCTCGCTCGCGCGGTTGCCCGGAGCGGATGTGGAGGGGGAGGGGGGGAGAGCAGAAAGAGGGGCAACACAGGCAAGGGCCTTTCGCTGGCTTTCGATCCCGTCCTTGTTTCACCTATGATTTTGTCAGCGTGGGGGAGCGGCTCCAGTCAACACAAAGCCCGCCTGCCCTAGTGTGTCGAACCGTCAAATTTCTGGGCTGCTTCTGGAGGTCCCTGGAAGCCTCTGGAGGTTGGCAGAGGCCAGTGGAGGCCTCCATTGGCAATGGGAACAACAGCAACAACCAAAAACCTTGATCCTCGATTCTTAATCCTCGTCGATTTCCTCCTACCCCTCGTCCTCTTCCAACCTTCAAAATCTGTCCCCCGACCCCTTCCGAGATACATCCCTAATAGATTATCTATCTGAGCAATTTTTGACAGCCCTGAGGCCCGAAGTGGGCCCCGAGAGATCGAGCATGACAACGAAAACACGTGTTCAACTCTCCTGGTCGGCTCGGCTTGGCTCGGCATCGGCGAGTGTAGGACGAGAGTGATGTCATGACAGGGTTGGCTCAGAATGCGTTCCAGGATTTCCAGAATATCCGACGGCCCTCGTTTCTGCAGCCCGTGTGGAACATAAGGAAAACTTGGAAATCCAGGCAATCTGGGAAACTTTAGAACATATGATTATCATGGCCACTCGCTCCTCTGAGAACGAAGTTCGGGAGCTGCACTGATCACGCATGCACATAAAGGGGGAAAGGGGACAAGGCGAGGAAGACAACAGCGGCAGCAGGAGAAGCGGACCAAGAGAGACTAGCTGACGACCTGATGCCTATCGTGCGCATGCTGCCCCCCCCGCCCCCCTCCTGGCAATGCAAGAAGCGGGTCCTGCGGGATACGGTTCTGATGGGCAACGTCAAGGGGGACCAACTCAAGGGGGCAAACATCGACCCAGAATCGCCGATCGAT